AGAGAGCGGTGCGGGGAGAGAGAGAGAGAGAGAGAGAGAGAGAGAGAGAGAGAGAGAGAGAGAGAGAGAGAGAGAGAGAGAGAGAGAGAGAGAGAGAGATTATACAATGTACAAACAGTGGTGCATTCTAGCGAAGTAGGCAGCCCTGTGTACCGATCAGCTCCCTGACCCAGGCTGACCGCATACCATGGACATCTCATTTCTGACTGTGAGAGTAGCAAGTGTGCAAGCCGTCCTACAGGATGTCGGTCGAAGATGTCTTCGTCACATACATGTCCTCGACGACGTCCATCGATTTTTTTCAGAAAACAAGTGTTTCAGGCCATGGCCAGCAGATCCTACAGCACCGGTCTGTTGGTCGGCCTATGGAACGACCCGACCAAGCACGCCCTTGTTCTATCTACCTCTCCGCGTGCCATCTCACTTGCGATTAAATTATCCCATGCAGATTAAATCAGTCGCAGTCGCAGCGCTTTCTGCCTGGACAGTCACACGGAGGGCAACCGGCGTAGGAACCAGAGTGTGAAACGCAGTACATCGATTCCAACCGTCATAGCACCGCCAGTCTTCGCAGTCATACCAAAGGCACAAAACTCCAGTGAGAACTGCAGCATGATTCGCAGTATGGACCTCATATTATACAACCGCAGTAGGTCCCGCCAAAGGGTCAAGCAGACTCCAAAATTGAGCAAAACAGCTTTCGCCCACCCGAGCTCCTTACCCCGGGCAGGTTTACCTCTACTCGCTAGTCGTTAACTTGCCTTATCTTACCTGCATCGGACACAGAGCTGGTTCACAAGCATCTCGCCAGAAAAAAAAACGCTGTCGATACGATTTCCACTACCCCATGTTCTATTCGGTCGAACGAACTCACGTTACACTCTGCGGTTTCAGGCGGACTGCATCTCTACTACTAAGATGAAGAAAGCGACAAGATACACCTTCCTCCGTAGGCGAGAGGAAAGATTTATCGGCAGGTTGCCAACCGATCTACTCTCCCAGCACGTCAGTAGTAGTCGACCTCTCTATGTAACTTCGGACCAGAGATATCACGAACTACCGACTCGGGCTCTCTTCCTCGGTACTCAAATGCCTATTACTAGGCTTGGAAGTGCAGCAACACGAGCCCGACGCGAAGTGGTGTGATTCGCCGACACCTCAAAAACGACTGTGGGCGCGGAACGTACTAAGAAAGGAGAGAAACGCTCAGCATGATGAAACTCGGCACACTCAAGCTTACTGGATCTCATCATAGTCAGTCTTGAGCCTACGCAAAAGATCTGCATCTACTACGTGAATGGAAACATCATCGGCTTTATGTTGCATACCCGATCTACTCTGTCAGTTCTGTAGCAGTGCTACCGTCTTCCCCCGAGCATAACGCACCATCATCATGAATGTGTACAAGCTGCCTTTCCGGTCCCATACGATCACGATGAGGGTCCGTTTTCCTCGGAGGAAGCACTCGCGCTAGTTTGCTGCTCTCTCATTCACCGCAGTCCCTCGCTGCATAGCTTCCATTGAATCTCGAACTTGAAGAGCACGTCCTTCGTGTCAACGTCCAAGATGCCACTTCCCGTCGGATTCGCGGAGTTGTCGACTCGCACCTCGGTATTGATGTTGATGTCTCTGACTTTGTGGCACTCGCTGAAGACAACCGGCTCCAGGTCGCCGTTGTGCTGGTAGTTGTCATTGTACGGGCCCTCGAGGTAGCCGGTGAAATAGCCCGTGCTTTGCTGTCCCTGGACGTAATTGCTCACCTTGTGCACACCCTTCACCCCTGCATCGAGGTTGGCATATCCCCGAAGGACGACGGATGCTAGGCTGTAGGACCAGCCGGCGGGGTACTGCAAGTTGATCGCCACGTCGCAGTTCTTCCGCAGCGGTGTGCTGGACGTGGAAACGCTGAAGTTGCTAAACTTGAGGGTGAGCACTTCGCCGTCTTCAGATATGGATCCTACCGCTGATCCAGGCGGACAGCCAGACCCGGCGTAAGTGAACGACTTGATCCGAGCAGTCTCCGGCGCCGCCGGTGCCGGCGCCTCTTGACCTTGTCCCATCGCAGCAGACAGCAGAATGAACATCACCAAAAGCAACGGCTTGCGAGTTGGCAGAGCCGCCGTGACGAACTCCACAACCCTCCACACCCTCACCATTGTTATTGATGCCTCTCTCTCTCTCTCCTCTCTCTCTCTCTCTCTCTCTCTCTCTTATTCTCTCTCTCTGTCTCTCTCTCTCGTTCTCTTTTCTCGACTCGACCTCGCCTCTGTCGCTGGTCGCTGTCTAGAGGCGGAGCTGGTGTAGGAAGAGAAGACGGCGATGGCCGCCTTGGCTCCACCTGCGTAGCGGTGGACGATGCGCTCGAACCCAGCCTGCGACAGTGGTCTGCTTCCTTTCCTCAAGATCACTTGAACATCACTTCAAGATTCCCGCCGTCGGGACGGTCCGCTTCTCAATCTACCACCCGCCAAACGAATAATAGTTCTTTCCGCTCCTCTTCCCGGCTTTCCGGAAAACACCGCACAGAGGAGCAACGAAGCGTGCTACAAACTCTGCCACCTCCCGAAGGATCATCAGTCTGAAAGACCAACGGGATTTCTATGTATATAGTGTCCATAGAACGTGTGCAAGTCTAAACACAGGTGATTGAAGGTTGACAAAAACAATATATGGATCGCCATAACACCGTTGATCTGGTCCGGCGAAACATCCGTTAAAATTGGACGCATACGGAGAAGCTTTTCTTTTTAATCTCAGAAAACTAAGCTATACGCTTCTCAAGTTTACCCTTCACTACCTACCTGCACGTTCAAGTTAGGGCCTCCCAATTTATTTCCTTGGTTGTGGCGAAGAAATACAAGCAGTGCCGAGGGATCTGACCCTTTGTTTACTGCCATCCTCACCCGCATAAAACGCCCTGTGACAATCGCCGTTTCTAGACTGAAAGTCGCCCTGAATACAGCTATAATGACCGGGCGTTGTATTCGGGTGAAGAATAGTGAAAAACTACGACTACATGAGGCAGATTCACCCCCACTGCGCTAAGAGCTTTGCCGATATGCCAGCAGGAAGTGTTTTTTTTTTTTGTTTTGGCTGGTGCTGCAAACCATTTTGGTCCAGTTGGCCCAATTCTGAGTTTAGGGGGCTACCAGTTGCCTCAAGCCACCCGGGGTCATGTAAAGGCGGTTTAAGAATTCCCGAAGCAAGGTCCCACTTGCCCAGATTCACCTTTCCTGACCTGGCAGATCTATGATCAGAAACGAAGAATCTGCTGAATTGGACCTCGCCCCCTGACTTCATTCTTCGCCAAGTGGGCGATGTCCGGAAGAGCACAATACCTCGTCAGCACACCGGTGTACAAATGAGGGCAGTATGGGGCCATGGGCCATAGCATGGTCAGAAATCTAACGATCGAGAACGGGCCGTAGCGTTCAGATATCTAACGAGCAAGAACGTAAGTCCAGCATCTTCTCAGCTTGGGCCAAGCCTGGCTGGGTATGACTACGCTAAGATACCCACCAATCTCGCAATGCGAAGCGCGGGTTAGGTCAGCCAAAGCACGAGAAGGGCTGGCTGCTACTCATTTGCAAGCTCAGGTGCTACGTGCGTGCTGAGAAAGCAAGACACTTGTCCCAAAGTGCCGACTTCTCTTTCTTTCTTTCCCTTTCTTCTCGATCATCACTAGGGGAAAATCTGGCCAACGCTGCTGCGAGATGGAAGCTGTACCAGCTCCCCATCCCCCTGCAGTACTACCAAGGGATGTGGCATTGCACCTTCCCTTTCCCCCTCCACCAAGCCTCCATTAACGGACTTCACCTACCAATAGCCAACATTGCCATTGCTTTGCACCCAACAATAAGGGTGGGTAAGACAGTCTTTTAGGTTTTATTTTTCAGGTGACGTGACATAGCATGTTCGAATGGAAGGGTATTGTGGTTGATCATTCTCCAATGAGCATATGCTCATGTAGTCGTAAAAGCGGCCAGAAACAATCAAGAAACTGTCTTGGGAGTATTTAAAATGAGCATGCGGGATCCCTGGGATGTAAAATGCTCATTTTTGAACAAACAAAAAAAAAAAATCTCAATTTTGTTGCAGCACGAAGGAAAACATCTCAAATTTAACTAGAACCCAGTTCTAAAGGCCTGCAAAGGCTGCAAATGCTGGAAGGAGGGGCAGCCATCTGTAATGTCTAGACGCCGTAGACGGTGAGGCACCAAGCAATAGCCAAGATTGTTCTTGCATTGCACCCAATAACAGTGGCTAAGGTCTTTCGAATGCTGGACTGGAGGGACCGTGGGATCTCTCTAGAGTCTATACAGTAAGCCACCAAGCATGTCTAATAACGTTCCTGAAGGAATTGAACTCACCACCTCCTGAATGCGCCTTAAAGTGACTTACCAAGTGGGCTAGGCTGGTTACTCTAGCTCCTCCTTCAAGGAAACTTCGCATGACGTAGTCCCTGCCAAAAGTCATTATATGCATGCATGAGCATAGCACCGGTGGGAAGTGACCTGACCGCACAGCTGGAGTGGTATCCACATCACAGCAGCTCAAGGGCATCCTTCCTTAGCGGAGTCAGCACCTCTTGAGTCATAGCTACAGCGCATTAGCTCAGATAACGGACATGAGCGCTCAACAAATGAAAGTGGGGCCTCTCCCTGGAGGTCAGCATGGTCAGCATGGTCAGCTCGGTCAGCTCGGCAGCCGAGGGATTGCAAGCCGCATTCTTTTTCTAAAGGTGAGCACACGTGTGCTGCCGTAACCACGTCAGGTGTGGGATCCGGCCACGTCAGGATAATGGTAATGGTATATGCCTACGAGACTGCAGCATTTCGTTTCTTGACTTTTCCCAAGTGAGGGTAGGCACAAAACTTCCGAGTCAGAAAAAGAGAAGCTTATCCAGCCTGCATGGCTGAGTGGTACACCAATCAACTCTAGGCAATTAGTCCTGAATTACCTGGACCCGGTCAACTGAATGATACACTGACATCTCAAGGCCGTTGCCAGGAAAAAATATAATGGAAAGGTTCGAGCTCATAATCTATTTTGCCTGGGGAGGCCCACTTTGTTTTTCGTTTTTCTACATGATAGCATGGCACACAACCCACGTAGCATCCCCTGCAGGCCACCTACTGCTCCAACCAACCGAGTTTGTCAACCACAACCAACTCATCGGAAAAGCTAAGCCACCAGTACTTCAGGCCACCTGGTGCTGACAGCCGGTTATCTCTGGTCATTGGAAAAAAACGACCAAATAATGGCAAAAAAAAGAAAAACGAACAAGAAAAAAAAAGAAAAAGAAAAAACAGGGAAACTGATTGATTGATTGTTCAGTTTGAGTAATCAATATAAAAAACAAATGCACGAGAAGTCCCGCGCGCACACACACACACACACACACACACACACACACACACACACACACACACACACACACACACACACACACACACACACACACACACACACAC